ATACACACACACACACAGCTCACCTTCACTCCCCTCCCTCACCGTGCGGTTTATCTGAGCCAAAATTCTAGGCTGTTGAAATTTTCTTAGATGAAGACACAGCTGTGGTGCCCAGATGTAGTGCCAGGAAGTCTGAAATGGCATCAAGACAAAAAAAGAGACACAGAGAAGGCAAGAGGAGAAATAAGGGTCTTCAAAGACCCTTTTCCAAATCAGGTCACATTCTCAGGCTCCAGGAATGAGGACCTGGTACCTTTAGGTGACCGTTATTTGGCTTATGATACTGAGGCTGAAAGAGGGGTGAGATAATGTATCCATAAAACACTCAGCTAGTCAGTTAGAGAATCAGAAGAAGAATCCAAGTCTTCCAACTCCCAAGGCTATGGGCACTTCAGGAGGTCATCTGCCATGCACTGAATGGGCCAGATGCTGGAGCTCCTGGGCCACTCCTCACCCTGCCACTTTCCAGCCACGGGGACTTGGCGAGTCACTTAGCATCCTTGAACATGTTTCTTCCTATAGAAAACTGAGATGTTAACAAAACTCTGCTTGAGATGCAGAAAAAAATACAAAGACTTAATTGCAGGTGGATGAATGGAGGGGTGAGTTGGTCATTGCCGGAGAGGAGGCAGAGGAGGCAGGGGAGGCATCCCAGCTCTCCACCACTGGTCCCACCATGGGTATTCTTAACCATTTCACTCCTTCTCTTCCACCCACGCCCTCATCGGGTCTTTGTGCTTCAGCCAGACCCTACTTCTTTCATTTCTTTACATACATTAATTAATCTGACATGTGGTAGATGCTCTTCTTATCCCATTTTCCAGATGAGAAAACTGAGACACTGAGTCACTCACCTGTACAGCTTCCATAGTGGGCTGTGTGCTCTACCCATTACACCTCTGCTCCTTCTGCCTCAAAGACCCTTTTCCTTACTGGTGTCTTGAGTAGCTCCTGCTCCCCCGATCACAGCCTCTGAGAAACCTTCCCTTCAGGCTAGGGATGGTGCCTGCTGAGGACTCTCACAGCACCCTGTCCTCCCCTATTCCAGCACTCACCACCCTGACTGTAATTGCTTGTTTAGTTGTCTGCCTTCTCTGCTCGAGTGTAACCTCTGTGACAGCAGGAAATGAATGCATCTAGCTTGTTTGTTGATGGATTACCAGTATCTGGTATGTACTCAGAAGTGTTCATTGTATGTACTTATAGTTGGTGGGTGGATGGATGAAATAGGTGGCTGAATGGGAAGGTTAGTGGGTAAGATAGATGGGTGGGCAAGTGATTGGGTGGGTGGGTGGATGGATGGATGGATGGATGGATGGATGGATGGATGGATGGATGGATGGATGGATGGATGATGGATGGATGGATGGATATTTGGATGGATGGATGGCTATTTGGATGGATGGATGGATGGATGGATGGATGGATGGATGGATGGATATTTTAATGGATGGATGGATGATGGATGGATGGATATTTGGATGGCTGGATGGCTGGATGGCTGGATGGGCATTTGGATGGATGGATGGATGGATGGGTGGATGGATGGGTAGATATGTTGATAGTCTAGTTAGCTGCACTAACTCTCACTAGCTCCTCTTGGAGCAGCAGTGAGAGCTTATATTCTGTTCTCAGCTCAGCCCAAACCTCTTGTATTTGGTAGGTGTTCAAACACTCTGTCACAGAGACACAGAAATCCACAAGGCAAAGTAGTACTCACTTCTCTGTGCTAGAAAGGACCACAGGAATCTGTTGGCCAAACTAACAATAATAAATACAGCTAAACGTTGCTGAGCAACTACCAGGAGACAGGCAGAGTGTTAGGCAATGCCATTTGTTCAAGAAATATTTGTTGATGCCATCTATGTGCCAGGCAGTGCTCTGGGCACTGGGGATACATCAGCGAACCAAATGGACAAAAATCCATGTACTTGTAGAATTTATTGTCTACTGAAGACATTGTCTTGTTTAATCTTAACACTCCCAGGAGGGGAGATGCTGGCAATATCTCTTTTCATAGAGCAGAAACTGAATTAAATAACTTGCTAAAGATTGCAAACCTTGTAGTAACAATACCAAGAGCACTGGGAGCAGCTAGTGTGGAGTTAGCCCTTTGTATGGGCAAGGACAGATCAAATTCATTTCCTCCTGACATCTGTCCTAGAAGGCAGGTGCTGCTGTTCTGTGGGTTTCCTTATTAAGGCAACATTCACATAAAATATGCCACTAATCATTTTAAAGTGTACAATTCAGTGGCATTCACTGCACTCACAATGTCGTGGAACCATCACCACTGTCTAGTTTCAGACATTTTCATAAACCCAGAAGGAAACCGTGCACCCATTAGCAGTCACTCCCCCTCCCCACACCCCCCAGAAACCACTAATCTACTGTCTGTCTATGGATGTACCTGCTCTGGGCATTTCATATAAATGGAATCATACACCATGTGATCTTCTGTGTCTGGCTTCCTCTCCTTAGCATCATGTTTTCAATGTTCACCCACATCATGGCCCATGTCATTGCTTTTTAGGGCTGAATAATATTCCATTACGTGGGTAGACCACTGTTTGTCCATTCATCCATCTCTTGATTGACATTTGGGTAGTTTCCACTTTGGGGCTGTTGTGAAGAATCTGCTTTGAAAGTTCATGGCCAGGTATCTGTCTGAACACGATTTTTCTGGGTGCGTACCTAGGAGTGGGAATGCTGGGCCGTGAAGTCATTGTTTTACTTTCTGAGGAGCCACCCATCTGCTTTCCACGGCAGCTACACCGTTTTGCTTTCCTGGCAAGTGCTGTTTTGATCCCCATTTTTCAGAGGCGAAAACAAACAGAGTGAAAGGTTAAGAAAGCAGCCTGAGGCCACACAGCTTGTAAGTGGCTGAGCGAGAATTTGAACTCAGGCAGTCCGAGTCCAGAGCCCCTGCTCTGAGTTCCCAGGCATTACTCCCCCCCAGCTAAGTTCCCTGGATTTGATTGGGAAGTTCTGTGGAGTTGATGGAGGAGTGGAGTCCCCATACACCATCTATATAAAACGTCCCCAAGTCCAGGCCATGGCTACCTCACTCCCTTCTCCTTCACATGGCCACTGCTGGGGGCTGAGGGGCGGGGATGGGACCCAGCACCTTGTCCCTGCACCACCGAGGTGTAGGCGACAGTTATTAATGTCCCCTTGGCAACTGTCCAGCTCCCTTTTTCTGATTATTATTATTTTATTCGGCGAGATTAATGTGCCAGGTCAGAGCATAATCCAGCCTGTAAAAAGTGATGTGAATAGTCTTCTCAAGATAAATTGCAGGCTTGGAAAAGGTTCACAGCCTTTCCTTGCCTGTCTGAGTGCTCTCCCGAATCCTCATCAATCCTTGTCTGGGCACAAGAAAAGGACGGGTCTTCATTTGCAGCTGGGGGGTGAGGGGGAGAAGAGCACATCTGTCAGGGATGCCTAATGGCTCACAGCACAGATGCTCTTTGCTGCTCCTCCACTCCGTCCACTGAGAGGGTGGGTTGGTTTTTAATATTACAATCATTATACTGAAAGGGCTTCTGGTATTTGGGTTTCCCTGATGGCCCCACGGTCCCCGACGTGTGAGGCTGAGTGAGCCACCAATTCCCATGTGCCTTCTGACGCCGAGAAGCTGTCCCAAATGAGCCATGGCCATTGGCCAGCCAATATGGGGATGGGGTTAATGGTGGTGACCACTGATCTTCAACCTCGGCCCCAAACCATCACGCTTGTAACTTGACTATTTGAAATTGCCAGGCTGAATTTTAGTTTGACCCTAAGGCAACAGGCAGCCTGCAAGGCCTCTTGTGATCACACTCATCCATCCCTAAGATTTTTTTTCTTTCTTTTCTCTGCTTGAA